ATTTCAACTACAGGCGGATGGAACTGATGGGGATATCAAAGCAGTGAGGATTGGGAAAGCAAGGCAAGCTTTTATCACTCTCAAGTCTGTGTGGAGATCAACAGCACTACTTAGCATGATAAACAAGATCCGAATTTTCACATCCAATGTGAAGTCAGTGCTTCTATACGGATCAGAGACGTGGCGCCGCAACAGGACAGCCACTTCGAGCAAACTACAGACCTTCATCAACAGCTGTCTTCTCTCTATACTACTCAACATCAGATGGCTGGCCAGAAAAGATCAGCAACAGGGAGGGATCTCTGACAATGAACTAACCAACCAACCCAGAAGGAACCAATTGTGCAATAAATATGCAGGAAGAAATGGAGATAGGTGGATTGGAGGCCATACTCTGAGGAAACAAACCACGATCAAGTGACATCACACGTCAGGCTATTGCACGAGTGGAACCCAAATGGGAAGCGGCGAGTCAGTTGGTCGTTAGTTCGAGGGTGACATGCAGTAGAGGAGGTGATGCGAAGAGAAGATGAAAGCATGTGAGCAGACGTGGAGCAAGGTGAAAATGTTGGTAGAGAACCGAACGCAATGGAGACGTGTGCGGCTGAAGCCCTCCCTATGTTCCTCTAGGAACTAAAGTGGGCAATAATAATAATAAAAATTACAGATGACATAATTGTGAATAAAAGCGTGTGTTTGAAGCGTTACCATGTAGTAAGTAGCCTTGGTATGATGTATCCAATAAACAAATTCACATCAAATCACACACGAACAAAGTTATACACATTTATTAATTTGACTCCTATTTGCCTGTCTCACAAATCAGATTTATCTACCTGGGTTACTGTGTTGCTTACGGATTCGTCTGAGTATCAGGCCTCTAAGGATCCTATGGCATTTTCTCTCGGTGTTTCTTCTCTCTACACTTTCCCAGTCAAATTTCTGTCCATATTTATCTGCATGCAATGCTACAAAGGAGACGGATGTTGTGTGTTGTGTTTTGACAACCAGTTTATTTATCTTCATGTTTACGAAGACACAGAAGACGTCTGTATTGACCGAACATAATAGTTTTCACACTTATTGAATGATAATTTTTGTATATCATATTGCTTTTATCTATTTTTACCGTTGTATCATTTTAACCGACATAATGTAGGTTGATTTTTCAAGCATTGGTTTGTAGGAATTTGATTGGATCCAAAAAGCTCGTGCTGCTTTCGCTAACTTACACCATCTCTGGCGTAGGCGTGACATCCGGCTATCAATCAAGGGGAGTGTGTACTGCTTAGTAGTTCGCTCCGTCCTTCTCTAAGGTTCTGAAGCATGGCCAATACGAGTTGAAGACATGAAAAGGTTGACTGTTTATGATCATAGATGTCTACGATCTCTTTCTCACGTTAGGTGGCATAATAAGGTAAGTATTGTTGACGTTAGGCGTAGAGTGTTGGGCAAAGAGGGAAAATCAGTCGAAGAGGCTATAAAGTTACATAGATTGAGATGGCTAGGTCACGTGCTGCGCATGCCTAACCATTGCTTCCCCCGACTGACTGTCATTACTAGCTGATATAGGTGCAGGTTGGAAAAGAGTAAGTGGTGACCAAACAAAAACATGGCCTCATCAATCCATGAAATCCTTGACAGTTAAACTGATTCAGGTAGGGAGGGAGATGCAGACTTCCGGGTTGGGGCCCTTGGGACTCTAGGAATCAAGGGCTGAAGACAATAGGTGACATGGCTCAAAATCGTTGTCAATGGCTAGCGCAGATGTATTCAGTCTCTGTAATCTTTCATAATCCTTTCTACCATTATTCATTCTGTTTCACTCTTATACTTGTCAAAACTCTATTGATTCTCTTTACTCATTTTCTTGTCTACCTTTGTGTGCTATTTGGAACGTGGCAACTCGAACTGCTGCACTTCGGTGCCAAGTTCTATGTTGAATCCAGCCAGCCAGGTATTTGATTGATTGGTTACAGGATTTCATCATGAACTGACATTGTTCGGAGAACCATTGAAAAACCACCATGCAAGGAGTACTGGACAGTCAGATGTTTCACCAGCCTAGTTTGGAACTAACCATTCATCAGTATGCACCCACCACAGAGGTTCGGATACAGGGCCATCTGGTTACAAGGCGATCTCGTAGACCGATGTCAGCTGATACTGAAATCCAGTCAAACCAGTCAATGAAATCCCTACAAACTAGTAATTGAAAATCAATGAGATGCTCATAAGCGATTGACCCTATTCAGCTACATAGTTACCTGGGCTTCTAGTGGAATGTCGTGACCAGTAGAGTGCAGCAGGTCGGGTGTGAGGACAAATACTCGCCACGGATGACATTCGCTAGTGGTCGCGCTATGTCATGAATTGGCAAAAGTTAAAATCCATGGTCTGGCCGTTGGATAGGAACGAGCTCGATTGCCTTGTAACCAGAAGGTCCTGGGTTTGAACCCTGGTGGTGGATGCGTACTGATGAAGAGTACGAGACTAGGCTGACAAAACAGCTGTTCAGTACTCCCACGTGGTTTCCATTGCTCCTCTAACCGATGTCTGCTCATGATGAAAACCTGTAACCAATAATGCAGGTTGGCTGGCTTGTAGGCAATATCTATTTCAATAAAGGTTTAGCATTCTTGCAGAGGTTTTAAAGATATTTTGTCTGGCCTTTCATTAGATAACTTTTATTCTGTCTATTGTCCTGAGGTTAGACAACTTTGGATGAAGTTTCATAGATATCCATTCTTTTGTGGAAGACTGTCTCTTAAGATATGTCTCTCCTAGTCTGAGTTTAAAAACTTGAGAATATATGTTTACAGTAGATGTTCAAGTATTGGTTTGTAGAGATATGACTGATTGATTGATTATAGGATTTCATCATGAGCTGACATCAGTTAGAGAACCATTGGAAAACCACCAGGTAGGGAATACTGCCAAACAGCTGTTTAGTCACCTTAGTCTGGGACTCTTAAGCAGTGCACACCCACCATCAGGGTTCAAACCCAGGACCTGCTGGTTACAAGGCAACCGAGCTCGTAGACCATTTAGCCAATGGCTTCCGATCCAATAGCTAGGCAGTCCATGAATTCTAACTTTTGCCAATTCATGACATAGCGCGACCACTAGTGAATGTTATTGCTGGCGAGTTTTGTCGTCACACGTGACCTGCTGCACTCTACTGGTCACGAGTTCCCACTAGAACCCCAGTCAATTAACTACTTGAACAGGGTCTACCGCTAGTGTGCATCTCATTGATTCTCAAGTATTGGTCTGTAAGGAATTGATTTATTGGTTGGAGGATTTTGTCATGAGTTAACATTAGTTAGAGATTATTATTATTGTTCCCTTCGGTTCCTAGTGGAACATAGGACGTCAACTGCACGTCTCCACTTGCTTCTCTCTTCTGCTGTACTTTACACCTGCATCCGTGTTAGTCCATACTGCTCCAACTCCTCTTCACACGATCTCCTCCATGTCACCCTTGCACTGACGTCCCACTCGCCGCTTCCCTTTCGGGTTCCACCCGAGGGACTGAAATGCGATGTCGCCCAGCAGCCTCCTCAGCGAGTGTCCAATCCATCTCCACTTTCTCCTGCATATTTGTCGAGTGATTGGTTCTTGGTTTGTTTGTTCCCATAGTTTCTTGTTGGTTCTTGTTCTTTCCGGCCATCTGATCTTCAGTATAGAGCCAGCGAAGACAGTTGTTGATCAAGGTCTGCAACAGGCTGTTGGAAATATTCTTTGTGACCCGCCAAGTTTCTGATCCGTAAAGCAAAATTGACTTGACGTTTGTATTGAAAATCCGAATTTTGTTGTTGATGCTGAGTGACGAAGATTTCCAGATTCGTTTCACGTTGATGAATGTGTTTCTCGCCTTCCCGAATATCGATTTGACATCCTCGTCCGTTCCACCTGCCTGTAGTTGAGACAATGCTCCCTCCCTAGATAAGTGAATTAAGTAACCTCTTTCATCAAATCCCTCCCGTTGATAGTGATTGGCGCTGGATGTTGCTGTTGTTGTTGTTGGTTGGTTATTTTCATAACCTCCGTCTTATCTATGTTCACCTGCAGTCCTGTCTTCATTGGCTGCTTCTTCGACCAGTTTGTCGGTTTTCGCTTGTAAGTCTTCGATTTTGTGTGACATCAAACACAAATCATCCGCGAAATCCAGGTCTTCTAGGTTCTTCATGTCTGTCAGGACAGGATATCCCTGTCTTCTCGTTTCCCACTGTCTGACGCATAATCCAGTCCACCACAATTAGGAATATCATTGGTGATAATAAGCACCATTGTCTGACTCCTGTGTTTACTTCAAACGCCTCGCTGAGTTTTCCGTTGTGGATCAATCGACATGTACCTTTGTCGTACAGCTGTTGAATAAGGTTGGTGAATATTTGGGGTACGCCGTAGTACTCGAGTAGTTTCCAAATTACTTCGCGGTCAACGCTGTCGAAGGCCTTCTCAAAGTCTGTAAAGTTGAGGTAGAGGTTTGATTGCCATTCCATGCTTTGTTCAATGATGATGCGTAGAGTACAGAATCATTGGATAATCACCTGGGAGTACTGCCAGCTTTGACTGAGTACATTTTATTTATTAATTTGGTTACAGCTTGATGCCACACCGTATTTTCAGTACAAGTATGGAATTTTCAGCATGGATATCGGTAGCCCAAATTTCGCAGGCCGACCATAGATATCGGGTGTGCGTCGGCAGGGGATTGAACCCAGGACCATGTGCATGGTCGGCGAGAGTCCTAACCACTGTGCCACCGACGCGCACAAAGCCACACCCACGGCGGGACACGAACCCGCAATCTTCTACTTAGGAGAGAGCTGTTCCGTCCTAGTTTGGGACTCTTCATCAGTACAGTAGATGTGACTGACTTCAATTATGCCATGTATGAATACCTTTAAAGATGATTATTCGATGAATATTCTCACTTTTTTTCATTCAATAAACGCATCTTTTCGTTCAAAGACTTCAAGAGATCATATTCAATGGATAATGGGAATCCTACTGATTATGTATTATTACATAGAACAAAATCAACACCAACAGCAGCAGAAGCAGCCGCAACAACAACAACAAATCCGAAAAGTATTCACATTTACTCCACCCCTTCCCATAGAACAGATTCCAATGATATTCATCATCATCATGCGATGATGGATACTGGTTCATACTTTCGTATTTCAGAAGATCAAAAAGCAGCGTTAAAGAATAGAAAATCTGATTTCTGTGATACTGTTCGTCGATATCTGAATAGACAAAATCAACAGTATTGCTCTGACTGTCAGATAATCCCTGAAACTCTTCCATATACTAGAAAAGTTAGCGGGGTGACAATAAACCATGATAAAATGCATAAGAGAAAAAAGTCAGTAAATGCCAATAAGATCAATCGTCGTTATTCAACAAACTGGTATAATAAAGAAAATGACAATGAGGTATGATAAATTGTTTAATATATATTATTATTATTGTATTATTATTGTTTCCTTTAATTCCCAGGGGAACATAGGGCTTCAGCCACACACATCTCCATTGCGTTCGGTTCTCTGCTAGAGTTTTAACCTGGCTCTTCGTCTGCCCACACGTTTTCATCTCCTCTTCACATGACCTCCTCCTCCATATCACCCTCGCACTGACGACCAACTTACCGCTTCCCTTTCGGGTTCCACTCGAGCAATGGCTTGTCTAGTGATGTCACTTGATGGTTTGTTTCCTCAGAGTATGACCAGCCAATCCATCGCCATTTCTTCCTGCCTATTTGTTTCACAATCGGTTCCTGCTGTGTTGCTTCGCTCATTGCCAGAGATCTCTGTTGCTGATCTTTTCTGACCGGCCATCTGATCTTGAGTGGTATTGAGCGAAGACAACTGTTGATGTAGGTCTGTAGTTTGTTTGATGTGCTATTTATGACGCGCCAAGTCTCTGATCAATTCGTATAGTAGCACTGACTTTACATTGGATTGGAAAATCCGGACCTTATTTTTGATACTGAATGCTGTTGACCTCCACATGGACTTGAGAGTAGTGAAAGCTTGTCTTGCTTTTCCGATTCTTGCTTTGATATCCTCGTCAGTTCCGTCCGTCTGTAGTTGAAACGATGCTTCCCAGGTAGGTAAGTGAAGGAGGTTGTTTCTTTCAGGTTCCTCCCATTTATGCTGATCGTTGTCTGTTGTTGTTGTTCTTGTTCAAGAATCTTCATCACCTCTGTTATATCTATATTCACCTGTATTTCTATCTTCTCTGGATGCTTCTTCTTCTGCTAACTTGTTGCTTGTCGCTTGCATATCTTCCAGTTTGTGGGGAAATCAGACATATATCAACGGCGAAGTCCAGATCCTCCAAGTTTTTCGTGAGGATCCATTTTATGCCTGTTTCCTCATTGCCCGCTCTTTGTCGCATTATCCAGTCTACTGCAATCAGGGAAATCATTGGCGATAGTAGGCGATAGAATATATATATATTTAGAGATATGGCGAAAAATCCCTTCAAAATTGAGTTTCAATTGATTAAAAATATCCATTATAAAGAAAAATTTCAAAAGAATTCTTGAAATAATGGTAAAACTTGGGCACTGTGGTGGTAGAGTACAACTCCATTATAGATAAGATTTTATTTTCATCAATCACACAGTGTGGTTATACAGTAATATTAACTGATGACCACCTTTCGAGCACAGTTTATTGCTTCCCATAATCATATCAAGGTACTGACTCACACAACTTTCTTGCTTCATTTATATCCAGGAGTGGAATTGGTGATTAGACATTTGACTGAATAAAAATCGATATAAGATGATCAAGCACATTCGGAAATGATAATATGAGTGTTATCAATCAAATACAATCAGATGGGAAATATTATTATTACTGTTCCCTTGGGTTCCTAGTGGAACATAGGGCTTCAACTACACGTCTCCACTTGTTTCTGTCTCCTTCTCTACTTTTCACCTGCATCCATGTTAGTCCACACTGTTTCAACTCCTCTTCACACGATCTCCTCCATGTCAGCCTCGGACGTCCCACTCGCCGCTTCCCTTTCGGGTTCCACTCGAGCACTGGCCTGACGCGCAATGTCACCCAGCGGCCTCCTCAGCGAGTGTCCAATCCATCTCCACTTTCTCCTGCATATTTGATTGGCGATTGGTTCTTGTTTCGTTTGTTTGTTCCCATAGTTTCTTGTTGGTGATTCTTTCCGGCGGCCATCTGATCTTCAGTAGAGAACGAAGATAGCTGTTGATAAAGGTCTGCAACAGGCTGTTGGAAATATTCTTTGTGACACATTGGCCAAGTTTCTGATCCGTATAGAAGAACTGACTGACTTGACGTTTGTATTGAAAATCCGAATTTTGTTGTTGATGAAAAATGAGACGAGTGCTTTTAAAGTCAAAATAAGTAACTTGCTAGAATGTTATGATGTACGTGAATTGAAATGAAATAGAATTTTAAGATTATTTATTATCCTCCTCTGATTTGACTGACTGGTGGTAATAATATCTTCCATATCTCTGGTATATTTGCATTGAATCATTTCTGTTGCATGTGTTGGGTGTAGAGTCGATGAACGAGGATTCAGTAATCAACCTCTCTCTCCACCTACCTATATTACATCTTAGAATTTTAACCGTCTCCCACCCTATTGTGTGGTTGTGTGTTACTGCATGCAGTGCAATCGGTGAGCTTTTTTCTAAATTATTAATCTTCGTGGTATCAACCATGCTTACTTTTGCTAAATTCTTATGTTCCGACATCACAGAAAATATAAGGCATATACAGTTATACCATATGAAGAGAGGACATCTGAGGCCTTACCCAGGATTCTAAATAGAAGAGGAATCATAGTGGTGGCATTCAAACCTACAAACTCACTGAGGTAGGATAAGCCCTGTAGGTTAAAGGACCCTGCCGGTTGACCTAATTAAACAAAATGATATAATTTACAAAATAACTTGCAATGACTGTGAGTTATGGTCAACTACATAGGTCAAGGCAAGTAGGGGACCCTGACGATTACCACCAAGCATTTAACCTCATTTTAGAGTACAACGCGATGATGTCCCACCTAGATTGGTGGCCACGTTACAAAGTTGACTGACAGAATTGAATCTGCACTGATCAAATGACTAGACATATGTTACGATTGTTACTAACTAGTGTCCAATCAAAGTACCCAGTGCAGTCCTACAGGAGATCTACAAATTGCCCGAATAGGTCAATGGTAACGTCTCTGATTTCACTACTGGGTAACACAGGTTCGAATATCAGAGGGGACATCTGTTCCTTCTAGGTTGCAGATACGTCTTGCTGACTAATGAGTGCCAACTAGCACGGAACCTAGGTCCCGGTAAGTCTTCCTGTGGCCGATTGCCTTCAACAATCTGATAACAACTGGATGCAGAACTCCGACCAGAAAAAGCTGGATTCAGGAAAGGCAAATCATGTTCTGACCAAATTGCAACTCTACGCATCATCATCACAGAACAAAGCATGGAATGGCAATCAAATCTCTACCTCAATTTTATAGACTTTGAGAAGGCCTTCGACAGCGTTGACCGCGAAGTAATTTGGAAACTACTCGAGTACTACGGCGTACCCCAAATATTCACCAACCTTATTCAACAGCTGTACGACAAAGGTACATGTCGATTGATCCACAACGGAAAACTCAGCGAGGCGTTTGAAGTAAACACAGGAGTCAGACAATGGTGCTTATTATCACCAATGATATTCCTAATTGTGGTGGACTGGATTATGCGTCAGACAGTGGGAAACGAGAAGACAGGGATATCCTGGACCGACGTGAAGAACCTAGAAGACCTGGATTTCAAATGTGGATGATTTATGTCTGATGTCACACAAAATCGAAGACTTACAAGCGAAAACCGACAAACTGGTCGAAGAAGCAGGAATCAGAGATAGGACTCCAGGTGAACATAGACAAGACGGAGGTTATCAAAATAACCAACCAACCAACCCAACAACAACAACAGCAGCAACATTCAGCGCCAATCACCATCAACGGGAGGATTTGAAAGAGGTTATTTCATTCACTTATCTAGGGAGCACTGTCTCAACTACAGGAGGAACGGACGAGGATGTCAAATCGATATTCGGGAAGGCGAGAAACACATTCATCAACGTGAAACGAATCTGGAAATCTTCGTCACTCAGCATCAACAACAAAATTCGGATTTTCAATACAAACGTCAAGTCAATTTTGCTTTACGGATCAGAAACTTGGGCGGTCACAAAGAATATTTCCAATAGCCTGTTGCAGACCTTTATCAACAACTAACTATCTTCGCTCTATACTGAAGATCAGATGGCCGTAAAGAATCACGAACAAGAAACTATGGAACAAACAAACGAAACAAGAACCAATCGCCCAACAAATATGCAGGATAAAGTGGAGATGGATTGGACACTCGCTGGCTGAGGAGGCCACTGGGTGACATCGCGCGTCAGGCCATAGCTCGAGTGGAACCCGAAAGGGAAGCGGCGAGTGGGACGTCAGTGCAAGGGTGACATGGAGGAGATCGTGTGAAGAGGAATTGAAACAGTATGGACGAACATGGATGCAGGTGAAAAGTACAGTAGAAGAGAGAAACAAGTGGAGAAGTGCAGTTGAAGCCCTATGTTCCACTAGGAACCCAAGGGAACAATGAAAAATAAAAATCTGATAGCAACAGAATTATGTAATTTTACCGAATCAATGCTGGAAGGTCTTTCGACTCATAAACGATGCTCATCATTATCATCATCTTCATCATCATTAATCATTGAATATTTGACCTTTTAGTGATTCTGTGGATTTTCAGCTACTTCTGTCTCGTTTAGCTTAATCTGAAGCTTAATTTGAATTCATATATGTTATTCGTTTGCAGTACACGTTGAATTTTGTTTTTAGAAGAATTGAGATGAATTCGTTTGAATTGACTCTAGATCTTTTTGTCGAGTTCACATCTGTTTACTTATTCATCTTTGTGGACTGACTGCAGTATTATTATCATTATTCCCTTGTGTTCCGAGTGGAACATAGGGCTGACTTCAACAACACATCTCCACTTTCTTTTGTTTTCTGCTGCCCTCTTCAGCTGGGTTCACGATTGACCAAACTATCTCATCTCTTCCTCACACGATCTCCTCCATGTCAGCCTCGTATTGAAGACCAACTCCTCACTTCCCATTTGGATTCCACTTGAGCAATGGCCTGAGTTGCGCGTAATGTTATTCGGCCGCCTCCTCAATGTATGCCCAATCCATCTCCACTTTCTCCTACATATTTGTCGAGCGATTGGCTCTCACCTGTTGGTTTGTTCCCAGACACAGTTTCTTGTTGCTAATTCTCTCTGGCCTCAAGATACTGGCTTGGAGTTTCTGTAGCAGTGGTTATTTTACAGGATGAGTTGCTAGCTTCATATCCAACCTTTCCTCTTCACCAGCATTATTTCTTGCTTAGCGAAGTAAAGGAATGCGTCGGTGCCATAGCGGTTAGGACGTTCGCTGACCATGCACATGGTCTGGGGTTTGATCCTCGGCCACCGACGCACTCCTTAACCTCGCTAAGCCAGAAACAATGCTGGTGAAGAAGAAAGGTTGGGCATGAGGCTAGCAACCCTATCCTGTAAAATAAACACTGCTACAGAAACTTCAAGCCACTAGCTTGAAGCCCCATGTTCCACTGGGGAACTTGAAGGAAACAAAATTCTCTCTGGCCGGTTGGCTATTTGAACTTCAGTATGGAGCCAGCGAATGTAGCTGTTGATGAAAGTTTGCAACTGGCTGTCGGAAATCCTTTTCGTGACATGTCAAGTTTCTGACTGCAGTAATCAGCTTCATATTGGTATCTGGTCTCCTTGCACGGACGCCTAGATATTACCAAGAGTAAGAACTCGAAGCTACTGGTGTAATAGTGTCTGGTAGTATAATCCAAGACGCATCTTCCATCTAATTTGAAAATCTCCAGCTTGATGTAGTTGCTCGTCAGTGAGTATCCACCGTTTCAAACGCCAAAAAACTAATCCACTACACCCCTAGGCTATCTTTTATGCTTCCGTGTCAAAGAAAGCTACCATTCAGAGGTGGTCGAATCATACAGTTGACAGCTCAAAGGTTTCTTTTAACTTTCAAGCATTGGTTTTTGTAGGGATTTAGTTTCGATCGGTCGGAGGATTTCATCATGAGTTGATATCAGTTAGAGAGCCACTGGAAAACCTCGGAGCACTGGGTAGCTGACGAAACAGCTTCTGTTAACTATCGAGCGTGCATTCTATGCCGCATTATTTTTATCATTACACCTCGAAAGTTAACAATTCCTGTGCCTACGATTAAAGGCATGAAATTCTACGAACTGTCTACTTCGCACTGTATCTACAAGTACACCTGCAGTTGAGGTGACACACATATAAGTTGAACCAATTGCATGTTCCAACGTCGTGGTTGTTAAGTCATGTAAAAAACCCTAATATGATTAGTTTCAACAAAAGCCCAGAACCATCCACTACAAAACATTTATTAATATCTAGTCACAAAATCAATAATAATGACTGCTTCTCAATTCTTTCACATAACTCTAATTCAGAGTTACTAAAGGTAATGGATTATGCGTTAGACTGTTGGGGGCAAGGAGTCAAGAATACGCTGGTAGACCAATAAGAAGACTCTAGAAGATCTGGATTTCGCGAGCGGATGACTTATGTCTAATATCACACAGACAAGAAGACTTGCAGGCAAGCGTAAACCAACAAACTGGCTGAAGATGCAGGCAGTGAAAACAGGACTTCAGGTGGATACAGAGAAGACGGAGGTGATGAAGATAACCAATGACAAACAACGACAACCAGCAACAAATCACCATCAACGGGAGAGATTTAACAGAGGTTGCCTCCTCCACTTATCGGGGAAACATCGTTTCAACTACCGGCTAACGGAACGGACGAAAATGTCAGAGTCAGAATCGGAAAGGCAAGATTCGCCTTCATCAACCTGAAACCAGTTTGGAAGACTTCCTCACTCAGCATGAACAATAAGATTCGGATTTTCAACACCCATGTGAAGTCGTTTCGTCTATGCAGGTCAGAAACTTGCACTGCGCGTGAGTCACTAAAAGGATTTCCAACAGCAAGCTGCAAACTTTCATCAACGGCTGCCAACTTCGCTGGCTGGCTCCATACTGAAGATCAAATGGCAGGCCAGAAAGAATAAGCAACAAATATGTGGGAGAAAGAGGATATGGATCGAGCATACATCGAGGAGGCCGTTGAATGATATCGCCCACAATGCAGGCCATTGCTCGGGTGGAATCCAAATGGGAGGCGACGAGTGGGTGGTCAGTGCTATGATGATATGGAGGAGATGAGAGAGTTTGGTCAATCGTAGACTCAGCTGAAGAGGACTTCAGAAAACAGAAGAAAGTGGAGATGTGTTGTTGAAACCAGCCCTATGTTCCACTCGGAACGCAAGGGAATAATAATAATAATAAAGGTAATGGAAGCATTTTGGAGATTAATTACATGCATCCGAAATTATGTGTACTGAAAAAAAATGGACGTCAAGACTTGCTTACCATGGACTACCTGACCTAGTAATATATGACTGGTTATTAGAATGTAATTTTATTTTATGTAATTGATTAATTGTCATACATTTTATTTTATCATTTTGAACTATACTAATTTCAGATTTGATCATGGGTTGATGTGGTTTGGAGAACCATTGAAAACCACCAGGGAGTCCTCGACAGATATTTTGTCCTAGTTTGGGACTCGTCGGGCTGAACGCACTCACTGCCAGGGTTCAAAACCAGGACCTTCCGGTTAGAAGACAAGCTCGTAGACTATTCAGCCAGTGGACCCAACTTAATGGACAGTCCATGAATTCTAACTTCTACCAATTGTTGATTTCAGCGCGACCAGCCACAAGCCAGTGTCATCCGTGGAGGGTATTTGTCCTCACTCTCTCATGACTTCTCACTAGTACTCAGGGCAACTTCGTCCTACAGGAAGTCACTGACTCTTGAAAACCATACCAATTATAAAGCCATCGTGAAAAGAAACTACGAAATGATGTCATCTAGCGATATTTCTCTTCTTAATGACTTATTAAAAATTATTGATTCATTTAACACTTTTCGTTCGTCTATCTGACCGCATTAAGCAGCTTTATTCTGATAAATGCAAATATGGATGCCGCATTACAGTCTTAGTGGGATGCGTACAACTGATGAGTCCCGAATAACATGAAACGTCCATCCTACAATCTTGTGTATTTATTTATTTATCTCCTAAAGATTAAAAACAGTGCATACTTGATATATTTTTGAGTCAAAAGGGAGTCAAAGTCAAAAGGGATCTAGATTTTCGGAAATAGTGCCTTGAATATCGTTATAGGATTCACCGTTAGGCAATCATTCGATTCGACAAACATATTTTACTAATGTTTACTGATGGCGTTTCGAGCACAATTTATTGCTCATAATCATATCAAGGTAATTACACGACTTCCTAAATTCATTTATATAATTCCGTTGTTTTTCACTTGATTTTCACTTGATTTGATTGGTAGTATTATTTTCCATATCTCGGGTATGAGAGATGATTCATTCCTATTGCATGTGTTGGGTGTAGATTCGATGAACAAAGATTCAGTAATCAACCTCTCTCTCCACCTACCTAGATTACTTCTTAGAATTTTAACCCTCTCCCACCATGCTATTGTGTGGTTGTGTGTTAATGCATGCATTGCAATCGCCGAGCTTTTTTCTAAATTACTTATCTTCTCTGGGTCAACCATTCTTACCTTAGCTAAATTCTTATGTTCTGACAATCTGACTACCCCTGACCTACTAGTTTGACCTATGTAGTTGACCTAACTCACAGTCATTGCAGGGTATTTTGTAAATTATATTATTTTGTCTAATTGGGTCCACTGGGTCCTTTAACCTACAGAGCTTGTCCTACCTGAGTGAGATTGTAGGTTTGAATGCCGCCACCCTAATTCCTGCTTTATTCAGAATCCTTCATAGGGTATCAGATGTTCCCTCCTTATATGCTATAAAAGTAGATGCCTTATATTCTCCCTTATGTCGGAACATAAGAATTTAGCTAAGGTAAGAATGATTGACCCCGAGAAGATAAGTAATTTAGAAAAAAGCTCACCGATTGCACTGCATGTACAACCAACAAACTACTTACAAACTCATTTCAGTAGTACACATTGTAGTGTGAATGATGTTTCTAAGGTTCTGTACGTCAAAGTGGCCAAAGTGGACGCCTCCTTTCGTCTTCGTATCCATGAACATAAGCTAGCCGTCAGAAGACACGACATTCACTCCCTCCCTCATATCGCTGCATACAGACAACCAAGGATATCAGTTCGACTGGGACAACCAACGTTCAAATATTAGACAGATGAAACACAGAGAATGCTAGTCAAAGAATTTTTGGAAGCCCGCCAGGTATTCCAGTGAATCGTCAATTAATAGACACATTGACATAGACAAAATTTACCAACCGATAAGAAGGAAATCTCACACACAAAGGGTCAAACTCCAGGTGAAGGAAACAATCAGCACCAATAATAATACAAGTAGCAGTCTGGAGGGTGTGAAAATACACCAAAACAACGAAAGAGTCACGTTCAAGGTGGTCACCAGGAGAGATGACTAATGAACTCGTGGAGTATGCGCTGAAGATGTTGCCTAGTAGTAGGGTAGTAATGAAAGCTTTGCAAATAAACCATCGAGCGAGCTAGCTCAGAGAACACAACCACATGAAAAGGTTCTGTACTTCTATTTACTTTATTACTTAATATATTACAATAAATTTTAGTGATATTTACAAAAATGATTGGATACTGTTTATCTTTTTTTTCATCTTAGATAGGTCAAGCTCTTGAGACTTTACGTGATTCAGTATCAAGGAAACGTAAACAATGGTTATCAGATCAAATCAATAAATTGAATACTGAAAGAACAACAACAATAGGATGTTCCCATGATGAGTAAGTTTCAAATTTTACTTGTAGATAAATATTTTCAGTGTTGAGGTTAACCATTGGATATGCAAGAGAAGGATTATCTAACTCATAAAAAGAATCAGTTAGATGAATGCTTGGCATTATTTTGATGGTGTTCCCTGTGGTTCAACGATAGAATAATCGCCAAAACCACACATGTGGTCTGAGGTTTGATCCCGAGGCGAGGTACTCCTAAACCTCGTTTAACCTGTAGTAAATCGGGTAAAACAAAAGATGGAAGGTCCACTAAGGAAATAAAAATTCGACTAAACCTAGCCTCTGCCACCATGTCCAAGTTAGGGAAAATATGGAAGAGCAACATCAGCGTCTCAGCAAAAATGAAACTCTACTCGTCACTGGTCCTCTCTGTATTCCTATATGGATGTGAGAGCTGGACCCTGAATGCAGAGACAGAAAGAAGAATACAAGCCTTCGAAAACAAAAGCTGTAGAAGGATCCTAGGAATAAGTTACCTTGAAAGGAAAACTAATGAATATGTCTTACACCAGGTCCATAGACTGGCAGGAAAACAGGAACCACTCCTTTCAATCGTAAAGAAACGGAAACTACAATGGTTCGGCCACACGGTAAGACATGACACATTGTCCAAAACGATTCTACAAGGCACAGTAGGAGGAGCACGAAAGAGAGGTCGACCGAATAAGAGCTGGCTTGACAACATAAAAGAGTGGACTGAAATGCCCTTGGATACGCTACAGAAAATAGCATTAAACCGAGAAGAATGGCGAAGACTGATAGCGCGAACTGTCATAGCACCCCCACGACGAAAGTCAAGGGACTGATGATGATGATGATGAAATCGAGTAAAGACCGAAGGTAGGGGAGATGAGGCTAGTAGACCCATCCCGTAAAAGAGAACAGAATCACTGTGACTGACATTTCAAAGCTCATACCTTAAAATCTTATGTTCTCCTTGAAACGCTGAGTGATAGCATGCGCTAGGACTTTGAGTGGAACCCGAATGCGGAATGATTAGTTTAATGTTCAAGGGTAACATGGAGGAGATCGTATGAGGAGTAGATGAGAGGTGGTGGGTCGTCGTGGACACAGCTGAAGAGGAATGCAGAGAACAGGGTGAATAAGACATGTACTCCTGGCGCCGTACGTTCCAGTGGTAACACTAGGGAATAATAATAATAGTAATATCAAATCTTTAAATAATCCCATTATTATCATTAGAACAAGACATATAGGCGAACAATATTGTTGTTTTCAATTAGATCTTCTTCAGGCTTTACTCTAATTACATAGATTTATACATAAAAAATTTAACCAATGACGGTGATTTTGGGAATCAAATAATAATCTTAATAATAATAATGTGGTAAATTTTTTGAACATAGTTAATAACGATGATTATAATGATAACAAAATATTGATAATAAGGTTTATGCAGGTGGTGACAAGAATAACAAAAGTAGTAATATGTGTATATGTAGACAATTCAATAAATAAATAAATTAGGTCAAATCTTGAAAGTTACGTAATATTAAAGTTAGGTGAAGTGGACAGATAATCAGAGTTTAAACAAATATCATAAAACAATTTGAAAAAATTTGGTGATTGGGTATATGATATTCACACAAAGCAACAAGAAGACGTAATTTGTCTGAATCTTGTTATGTATGTATTTGCGAGCTCAACACATTTCGAACAGTCTGATCACACTCCACGGACTTGTAGTAAGATTGTATTTATATTAAAGGAATAAAGAGTAAAGGGGTGAGAAAATAAATTTAGGTCAATTTAAAAGGACATGTTGAAGGTCGAAATAAAAATGAAGATCACTAAACCAAATAGCGGAGGTAATAGTACATCTACCCTGGATGGTATCAAAACAAAATTTACCAAGGAAGGTTTAGTGTGATGACGAATTGTTTCTGAACGCATAGACGTGGTTTAAACTTTCTGATTGCTAGTTAAGGCTTCCACAAACTTTAGGATACACCCCAAACACGTTTTATGCATATATAGTAGCTTGATGTACATGTCTTTCTTAGGGGCGACTTGTGAGTGGATCTTGGTGTTCTGACTACATTATATCTCCTGCTGAAGTCGACGGCTTAATGGGTCAGTACAAGGATCTATTTATAGAAAACCTACCTGGAAAGGACAGTGTCTTAATTACCACACTTTCTGCCCTGTTGGGTACAAAAGAACCTTAGTCATCTAGGTACCTCTTCAGCAGAATCCAAGGAATATACACCGGAGACAGACACACTTGATGAAAAAAAAAGAAAGCTGACACAAACTCTCTTTGATAACAATTATCCAAACAAGTTCATCAGGAGGTATAAAGCAGTCACAACACCAAGATTCACTCTACAACTCGCCCCCAAGAAGGACGTGTACATCAAGCAGCTTGATAACCAGACAAAGATTGAACGTTGCTGTTAAAAAGACTTTTTATGCAGCCAATATCATAATAATTGAGAATGTGAAGCCAATATATCCTTCCATCTAAGCCCTTCAAACATGCGAAAACTGATGTCACATCCAATTTGAATGTACGTCTGGACACACACATACACAGGAGGGAGGACTCATTGATCTCTCCAAGTAAGGGCCGGCTTCACAGCATATTCCTAAATGGCTCCAGAAGCAAATAGAATCTTCAGAAACCATTAATGGTGAGAACAGGTGACAATCTAGCTCCTCAATTGCGAAATATATTACAGAGGAGACAGGACATAAATAGACGTTTACATATCTTCTAAACCTATCTATAAAACGTGTTTGGGGCGTATCCTAAAGTTTGTGGAAGCCTTAGGAAGTTTTAACCACCTTTATGCGTTCAAAGCAACAATTTGTCGTCACACTAAACCTTATTTCGTAAATTTTGTTCTGATACCATAGCAGCTGTACTATTACCTCCGCTATTTGGTTTAGTGGTCTTCATTGTTATTTCGACCTTCAATATGTCCTTTTAATTTGACCTAAGTAGTCTATTTTCTCACTTCCTAACTCTTTATTAATTTCATATATATATTCCTATGACGAGTCCGTGGAGTGTGATGAGACTGTTCGAAATGTGTTGTGCGCGCAAATACATACATAACACGATTCAGACAAATTACATCTTTTTATTGCTTAGTCTAAATTCATAAAGGGATCTATTTGTTTTACATGACGTTCATTATAGTTAAGGCTTTTATATTTCTCAATGAATGAAAAGCGAAACGATATTGTTTTATAATATAATTCTTTGATGAAGCTATTAGCATTAAATGGCGAAACTTCAGTAAAAACAATATGGTTTTGTTTTTCATTTATTGGGAAACACAAAAACCTTTATTATAATAAATATCATAAAATTACGAAGGAGATGGAAAATAAGAAAGGGTGGGAGGGTTTTCAATAGAATTCACCTAGGCCAGCAAAGGGAGGGATAAAGGTAGAACAAACTTCTTTTGTATGCAAAGACACTTGGATTGTTCTCTCGAATTAATTCCCATAGCTTCAGCTGTGTGTAAAAGGCGGGTTCGAATTCTGTTCGAAAGGCTCGATGGATAACTTTGAAGGTGGCACTATTTCTGTCCACTTGGTGACCGCTATCACCAATCAAATGTATCAAAATAGAACTTCTTATACATATTATTTGACCTTTTCCGAACCATGAAGGAAGATGCTCATTAATGCATTTGTTAAGCTGTCTAATTGTTTGCCCTATACAGCTAGCTTTCTCCACAGGAGCAATTGAATTTGTAGATTCACATAGAAGTGGCAGAGTTAGGTAGCTAGGTAGCATGTCTTTCGCTTGAGCAATCATAATCGGTTAGCAGCTGGAAAATGACAAACAAAGGGGCGGGGTTGGTGGCAGTATAAGTCCGTTTTATCGCTCTCGATAATCTTGTTATAATAGTAACAGTAATACCGTAGTAATCTGTCCTTCCATCTTTTTTTTCGAGCATTTCTCCGGCGAGTCACAAAATGCCCACTAATCCAAATGTTTATTTTTTTAAAATAATTCTCTATTCAAAATTTTCAAATACCACCATTCTTCATCAATTATGTCCAGTATTATGCAAATAATTTTATCGATTTTTTGTGTTAATTGTTGACAATAGTAACCAGGTTATCTAAGGACAACTGCATTAAAAGTAAACTAAGTTTATACTGACTGACTCATCATATATTAATTATTATTATTATTAATTATTTTTATTGAGTTAATATGGTTCAAACGATAACTGTGACTATTATTATTCCTGTTAAATGGTGTAAAATAGAACAATAGCTATTTGCTCATAGGGAATAAGAAGACAGTTGCAGCGAAGAAAATTTTCTTTTCGATGAAATCATCATCTAGGCTGTACATTCGTGTATTGATATCAAATGGATGGGAAAGTTCCAGAATAATTTCCGGTTAAGGGTCAAATTAATAAAAATTACAATTAGGAATTAGAATGCCATAATAAACAGGGGGAAGGATAAAACTCAAACAAAGTAGCATCATAATTACTGAGAAGATTGACACTGATTGTGCATTTAGGGGTTAGAAATGTAAAAATAACAACAATAGACAGGATGTTTGGATAAAAAACTAATATGATGAATAATTGTTTATGCAATCAGGGATTAAATATGTAGAGATAGTAAAATGACAAAATAAACAGGAAGAGTGGATATGAAAATATGATAGTGCAGACAGGGATTAAGAAAACTTAAAATAACATGAATAAACAGGAAGTTTAGATAAGAAAGGCGATGGGATGGTCATTATTAAAAAAGACAAGCTGTCGCATTGGGCCACCTCAACGTGCATATACCAGTTCACTTGCTCTTGTGGAGCTGAGTACATCGGCCGTACCATGCGCCAACTTGAACAACGCGCTTGTGAACACTATCCAGCCTGGCTAGTAAAAGAAGAACGAAAACGTGTATATAGTTCAGTGACAAAACGTCTTGTCAATCCAGGACATTCAGCGCCTTACGAAAAATCCTTCAAAGTAATATACAAAATT